AAGCAGTTACGCAAGCACTTACGAACCTGGGGCCAGATTCACCAAGCAGTTACGTAAGCACATGCGAACCTGGGGCCAGATTCACCAAGCAGTTACGCAAGCACTTACGAACCTGGGGCCAGATTCACCAAGCAGTTACGCAAGCACTTACGAACCTGGGGCCAGATTCACCAAGCAGTTACGCAAGCACTTACGAACCTGGGGCCAGATTCACCAAGCAGTTACGCAAGCACTTACGAACCTGGGGCCAGATTCACCAAGCAGTTATGCAAGCACTTACGAACCTGGGGCCAGATTCACGAAGCAGTTACGCAAGCACTTACGAACCTGGGGCCAGATTCACGAAGCAGTTACGCCAGCACTTACGAACCTGCGGCCAGATTCACGAAGCAGTTACGCAAGCACTTACGAACCTGGGGCCAGATTCACGAAGCAGTTACGCAAGCACTTACGAACCTGGGGCCAGATTCACGAAGCAGTTACGCAAGCACTTACGAGCCTGGGGGCCAGATTCACGAAGCAGTTACGCAAGCACTTACGAACCTGTCCACCTTTTCTCAATCTTTGGCGGCTTTGTTTACAATTATTAAACAGTTAATGAGCTCCGAAGCACCAGGAGGCTGTTTATAACAATAACAACAGTTGATTGGCAAGTTTTCATGCTTGTAAACTGTTTAATAAATGTAACCAAAGCCGTCAAAGATTGTGGAAAGATGTACACGTTCGTAAGTGCTTGCGTAACTGCTTCGTGAATCTGGCCCCCTCTTGAATAGAAAAAGATTTGACTAGATTTATTTGATTTAATATTATATGTAACGACCGAGACGTTGGGACTAAGCTGTGGGGAACAACCATGCTAAAACTGGTTCATCTCTCACACCAGACACAGCTGAGGGCCTCAGGCCTAACACTCCAACAAACCAGACATGACAAGGCTCATCTCATCCAGACATTGAAAATGCCGAACACATTGGAAGATATTGATCCAGACCACTTCTTGAAAAGGTCCAATGTAACTTACACAAGTGGCCACAGCTTCAGGCCACAATACACACACAAGTGGCCACAGCTTCAGGCCACAATACACACACAAGGAGCAACAGCTTCAGGCCACAATACACACACAAGGAGCAACAGCTTCAGGCCACAATACACACACAAGGAGCAACAGCTTCAGGCCACAATATACACACAAGTGGCCACAGCTTCAGGCCACAATACACACACAAGGAGCAACAGCTTCAGGCCACAATATACACACAAGTGGCCACAGCTTCAGGCCACAATACACACACGTGGCCACAGCTTCAGGCCACAATATACACACAAGTGGCCACAGCTTCAGGCCACAATATACACACAAGTGGCCACAGCTTCAGGCCACAATACACACACAAGTGGCCACAGCTTCAGGCCACAATACACACACAAGGGGCCACAGCTTCAGGCCACAATATACACACAAGTGGCCACAGCTTCAGGCCACAATATACACACAAGTGGCCACAGCTTCAGGCCACAATATACACACAAGGGACAACAGCTTCAGGCCACAATATACACACAAGGGGCCACAGCTTCAGGCCACAATATACACACAAGTGGCCACAGCTTCAGGCCACAATACACACACAAGTGGCCACAGCTTCAGGCCACAATATACACACAAGTAGCCACAGCTTCAGGCCACAATACACACACAAGTGGCCACAGCTTCAGGCCACAATACACACACAAGGGGCCACAGCTTCAGGCCACAATATACACACGAGTGGCCACAGCTTCAGGCCACAATATACACACAAGTGGCCACAGCTTCAGGCCACAATATACACACAAGGGGGCCACAGCTTCAGGCCACAATATACACACAAGGGGCCACAGCTTCAGGCCACAATATACACACAAGTGGCCACAGCTTCAGGCCACAATATACACACAAGTGGCCACAGCTTCAGGCCACAATATACACACAAGGGACAACAGCTTCAGGCCACAATATACACACAAGTGGCCACAGCTTCAGGCCACAATACACACACAAGTGGCCACAGCTTCAGGCCACAATATACACACAAGTGGCCACAGCTTCAGGCCACAATACACAAAGTGGCCACAGCTTCAGGCCACAATATACACACAAGTGGCCACAGCTTCAGGCCACAATATACACACAAGTGGCCACAGCTTCAGGCCACAATATACACACAAGGGACAACAGCTTCAGGCCACAATATACACACAAGGGACAACAGCTTCAGGCCACAATATACACACAAGTGGCCACAGCTTCAGGCCACAATATACACACAAGGGGCCACAGCTTCAGGCCACAATATACACACAAGGGGCCACAGCTTCAGGCCACAATATACACACAAGTGGCCACAGCTTCAGGCCACAATATACACACAAGGGGCCACAGCTTCAGGCCACAATATACACACAAGGGACAACAGCTTCAGGCCACAATATACACACAAGGGGCCACAGCTTCAGGCCACAATATACACACAAGGGGCCACAGCTTCTGGCCACAATATACACACAAGGGACAACAGCTTCAGGCCACAATACACAAAGTGGTCACAGCTTCAGGCCACAATATACACACAAGGGGCCACAGCTTCAGGCCACAATATACACACAAGTGGCCACAGCTTCAGGCCACAATATACACACAAGGGGCCACAGCTTCAGGCCACAATACACACACAAGGGACAACAGCTTCAGGCCACAATACACAAAGTGGCCACAGCTTCAGGCCACAATATACACACAAGGGGCCACAGCTTCAGGCCACAATATACACACAAGGGACAACAGCTTCAGGCCACAATACACAAAGTGGCCACAGCTTCAGGCCACAATATACACACAAAGGGCCACAGCTTCAGGCCACAATACACACACAAGGAGCAACAGCTTCAGGCCACAATACACACACAAGGAGCAACAGCTTCAGGCCACAATATACACACAAGTGGCCACAGCTTCAGGCCACAATACACACACAAGGAGCAACAGCTTCAGGCCACAATATACACACAAGTGGCCACAGCTTCAGGCCACAATACACACACGTGGCCACAGCTTCAGGCCACAATATACACACAAGTGGCCACAGCTTCAGGCCACAATATACACACAAGTGGCCACAGCTTCAGGCCACAATACACACACAAGTGGCCACAGCTTCAGGCCACAATACACACACAAGGGGCCACAGCTTCAGGCCATAATATACACACAAGTGGCCACAGCTTCAGGCCACAATATACACACAAGTGGCCACAGCTTCAGGCCACAATATACACACAAGGGGCCACAGCTTCAGACTCAACAAGCCACAATATAGAACAGATAACCTGTTATTGTTCACGCCATAGTTAAGACCTGTAGCATGAAGCAACCTTCACACCAAAACATAAGCCATTACTCCCATCCAAAATTTCAAATAAAATTTCTTCCGGAATATCCTTTGACAAACCACCGGCTTTCTGCCTCCGTCCAGGCACTAGAAAAGTACAGTACATCGTATGGTTAAATTCTGTTATCTTGAGGTTATCTTGAGATGATTTTGGGGCTTAGCGTCCCCGCGGCCCGGTCCTTGACCTGGCCTCCTTTTTTTTACACATCCTCGGGAAGCAGCCTGTAGCAGCTGTCTAACTCCCAGGTACCTATTTACTGCTAGGTGAACAGGAACATCAGGGTGAAAGAAACTCTGCCCATTTGTTTCCACCTCCGCCGGGAATCGAACCCGGAACATTAGGACTACGAATCTTGAGCGCTGTCCACTCAGCTGTGTCCACCGGGACGGTGAACCGCCGTGTCCTCCGGGACGGTGAACCGCCGTGTCCACCGTGACGGTAAACCGCCGTGTCCACCGTGACGGTGAACCGCCGTGTCCACCGGGACGGTGAACCGCCGTGTCCACCGGGACGGTGAACCGCTGTGTCCACCGGGACGGTGAACCGCTGTGTCCACCGGGACGGTGAACCGCTGTGTCCACCGGGACGGTGAACCGCTGTGTCCACCGGGACGGTGAACCGCTGTGTCCACCGGGACGGTGAACCGCTGTGTCCACCGGGACAGTGAGCCTCTGTGTCCACCGGGACGGTGAGCCTCTGTGTCCACCGTGACGGTGAGCCGCTGTGTCCACCGGGACGGTGAACCGCTGTGTCCACCGGGACGGTGAACCTCTGTGTCCACCGGGACGGTGAACCGCTGTGTCCACCGGGACGGTGAACCTCTGTGTCCACCGTGACGGTGAACCTCTGTGTCCACCGTGACGGTGAACCGCTGTGTCCACCGTGACGGTGAACCGCTGTGTCCACCGTGACGGTGAACCGCTGTGTCCACCGGGATGGTGAACCGCTGTGTCCACCGGGACGGTAACTGTAAAGGCCAATATTTGGTAAAGATGTATGTTGGGCAGCCAGATGGAGTTATACACCTGATGTTGTATTTATACAGTATACACGTAATACACTTCCTCGATGAAGTTGATGAATGTGTGTTTGTCAAATGTTATCATTTGCTTCGTGTTCATAATTGCTAAACTATGTATTGGTGAATGTATTAAAATATGCATAAATATTAAGTTTGAAGATGAGAACAACGGACACTGCATAAAGCATATTGGCCCATACAAGGCTGCACCTACTTATACCCAGCCTAACTCATTTATGTGTGTCCATCCTACACTTGAAACACTCCAGTGAGCTTCGTCTATAATGTAACCCGGTAATTTGTTCCATAAATTAACCACCCAATTTACATTTCATCCTTTATCCAGGTCTTTTCTGTAGTTAAACCTACCCAATTTATACCCATTGTTTTGTGTGCTATTGGTTTGTATACCTCAGTTATGTCACCTCTTGGCTAGTACTAATAACTATATGTAAGAACATAAGAGAATCATTTAAATGTTGTTCACAGTTTATTAAATTTTTAAAATCTACAGGACTAAAATTTTCTGCTTTCTGTATATTGTCAGGCGTATGAGTGGGCGCTGGAGGCGATGAAGGTGGTGGGTCGCGTGAAGGGCGAGGGCCTGGCGTCCCCCGAGCAGGTGGGTGCTGCAGGCCGCACCCTCACAGCATACCTGGAGCAGCACCCACCCATACCTGACGACACCTTCACCGCCATGACCACCCTCGCTACACGACTCAACAATCACACACTCCTCCAGCAGTGTAAGGTGAGCTCCTGGTCATGCCCTCCTCACTTAACTCTACCACTTGGGCCTGCGGGCCGCTCCAAGCAACAGCCTGGTGGACCAAACTCTCACAAGTCAAGCCTGGCCTCGGGCCAGACTTAGGCAGTAGAAGAACTCTCAGAACCCCATCCAGGTAAAATCCAGGTACATGGTTAACGTCCTCGCTGTACAGCCAAATGACCCGGGTTCAATTCCAGGGCAGGACAGAGATGGTTGGGCATGTTTCCTCCCACCTGATGCCTTTGTGAACCTTGCAGTAAAATATGAACCAGGGAGTTGGTCTGGTCTGGAGCCGGTCGGCCGAGCGGACAGCACGCTGGACTTGTGATCCTGTGGTCCTGGGTTCGATCCCAGGCGCCGGCGAGAAACAATGGGCAGAGTTTCTTTCACCCTATGCCCCTGTTACCTAGCAGTAAAATAGGTACCTGGGTGTTAGTCAGCTATCACGGGCTGCTTCCTGGGGGTGGAGGCCTGGTGGAGGACCGGGCCGCGGGGACACTAAAGCCCTGGGGGAGGGTCCTGGGGGAGGGTCCTTGGGAGGGTCCTGGGGAGGGTCCTGGGTAGGGTCCTGGGGAGGATCCTGGGGGAGGGTCCTGGGGAAGGTCCTGGGGAGGGTCCTGGAGAGGGTCCTGGGGAGGGGTCCTGGGGTAGGGTCCTGGGGAGGATCCTGGGGTGAGGGTCCTGGGGAAGGTCCTGGGAAGGGTCCTGGAGAGGGTCCTGGGGGAGGGTCCTAGGGGTACCTCCATAAGACTTAACTTCATGTTTCATATCCCCGACACTGAAACATTATGATTTAAACACGGACCTAAAGATAACGCAAATTAAATAGAGTACGTCAAAAAAATTTTTTAATGCCATTTTTTATTTTTCCCAGGTAATTAAAATACTAGTTTTCACAGTCCAATTTTGTCTCCAACAACAGGAATTATTATTTGAAGACTTTGTGTTAAAGCTTTCTTATCTTCAAAACTATGTTGAAAGATATTTTGTTTTTTGTTTATTTATTTTCGTTTTGAATTCTTAAGCGTATTTGAAATACAGCAGTAGTTTTTAAATTTAATTAATTTTGCAGATGGCTCAGGTTCGATGTCAAGAAACAAATGAACTTCTTCGTAACCGGCAAGCAGCACTTTATAAAGCCAAGCGACAGATGGAATTCGATTGCCAGAGCTTCGTGGACTTGGGCGAGGTGTTTGGAGGAGGAGGAGGAGGAGAGGAGATGTCGCCCTTAGCCTGGCTGGCGTGCTCACCTCTCAATGTGTCAGGTCGACGAAGATCTGTGTCATCGTTGGGGTCACGTCCTCGCGACTCTCTGTCACGGTGTCCATCACTCGACACGGACGACGACTCGGTGTTCTTGGACCCACCGCCACCTCCAGCACCTGCCAAGACCCCGCTGGAGCCTCGTACTAGCCTGGGTGGCATTAAGGAGGTTCGCGAGAGTGCTGAAGACCTCGAGCAGCCGTCAACCCCAGGCAATACTAAATTAACTTCACCTTCAGGGACCACAACCTCGTCATCTGGGTCCAGTGGCAGGTGTGGAAGCAGTTCCTGCTCCTCCAGCGAGAGTTCTGGACCTGTCAGCATAAACAAAAAATTCATGAAGAGAGCCAATACTTGGCAGTATGGTCTCATACCCAAAGGACACACCGATGACAATACTGGGTGAGTCTTTTGCATGCATTTACTTTGTTTTTAATGTGTTTAAAAGATAAAGCTTCAACTGCTCATAAAATGGTAAGCTTCAACTGAATTAAAAAATCTTTGACTACACACAAAGCGTCCTTACTTGCTTGTATTTCATCATTTGAAATAATCAATAATTACCAAATTATAGTAAGAGTTCAGAAAATATCAATAACCTTTACAAAAACAGATGTTTTGTGAATTTCAAGTAAATTAATTCAGGAAAATGTTCCAGGAAACAATTAGACAACTGTTGTAGGCTTCATCTTAGAGGACAGTAGTTGACCTAGCAAGACCTGGATAAGTCTAACAGGCTTCCTGACTCTGACTGAGATAACATGAGGTGAACCAAGATAAGAGTGAGTGAGTGTGACGTAGGAGTTGATTACTTGTTTATTAGGGGCTTATTTTCACCACATAGATTTATTAAAAAATACAGTACAGTACATAAGAATATAGGACTATAGAATATAGGACACAATCGACTTGAGAATGGTCCAGGATGGACCGAAACGTCGTCGTCCCTTCATTTTCTAGTGTGTGGTCTGGTCAACATACTTCAGCCACGTGATTGTGACTCATCGCCTCCATAAGAATATAGGAGAGTGCAGAAGGCCTGTTGGTCCATACGAAGCAGCTCCTATTTATATCCATTATCCTCCTCTTTCACATGTCAAACCTAATCTTGAAACAGTTTAGTGATAGGTGACTGTGACATGGAAGCATCATGGGGAAAATTTCAAGGTCATCACTGAACTTGTTTAAAGATATGTGTCAAAGGGGAGAAAGGAAAGAAAGGGAACTAGATGGATGACACAGGTAGAGTTTTGATAACTAAGTGGAACCTCTGGAGAAGATTATAAAACCACAATGACCTTGGCTTGCGGGTTGCCTTGTGCTGATATCGGGGATCAACGTCCCCGCGGCCCGGTCTGTGACCAGGCCTCTTGGTTGGTCATCTTGTCAACCAGGCTGTTGGATACCTGCTTTCATTTCTGCGGATGTAGCTGCTCACAGCCTGACATAAAAATCACAGCCAAGTTGATCAGGTATACACTGTGAGGGGTCGGCCAGTTATGGCCCTTATGTGTAGTGGAAGCATGGTTGAACAGTCTTGGGCCTCTGATGTTGATAGCGTTCTCTCTCAGAGCACTTATTGCACCTCTGCTCTTTAATGGGGGTATTCTGTACATCCTACGATGCCTTCTGGTCTCCTGATGTGATATTATTGGTTTGCAGTGTTGTTAGCCCTGTGGCCCTCAACCGTTTCTGGCATGAGAGTTGACTTAGTTCAGGAATGATTTTTGTTGCCCGGTGTTGAACTTTCTCCAAAGCACCTATATCCTACTGATGATGTGGTCTCCATGCTTGGATACAATAATCCAATTCGGGATGCACCAGAGATTTATTCAGTTGAATCACTACCTTCTTTTCCTTAAAGTGAAAGGTATGCTTGATTATTCCAAGGGTTTGAGCGGCATTGACACCGAGAAAGACACAGCTACATTGGAGAAAGTTTAACACTGGGCATCAATAATTATTCCAGAACTAAGTCAACTCTCATGCCAGAAACCGTTAAGGGCCACAGGGCTAACAACACTGCAAACCAGGCATGGGCTGATTTCATCCAAATTTTAAAATACTGTGTGGGTACCGAATAATTTGAAGAATGTTGATCCAGACGTCTTCAAAAGGTCAGATGTAACACAGACAAGGAACAACGGTTTCAAGCTCAACAAGCCACAATGTGGGATTGAAAACAGAAGATGCTTTTTCACCCACAGAGTTATAACACTTTCATGCCCACTGCACGTGGATACACGGCGGGTTTATTTCTATCGCTTGTGTGGTCGCATCGTACATTTACGGTAGATAGGGGAACCATTGATAAACCTCTGGCTTCCTGTCTTCGTCGAGGCCTCTAGTGTATTAGTGGCCCTCAGGTAAATTATGTCACCCGGTAATTTGTTCCAGAGTTTAGAACCGTGTCCAAGCCAGTATGTACCCAGGTGCTTCCTACACCACTTGCCCCAAGGTTACTTCATTTGATGTATAGTTTATGCATTGCAACATTTAAATGAATGATATTAAGGTTGGTTCAATGAAATTAACCTCACCAAACTCAAAAACCTGCACATTTTAACGACAGCTTTTACCACTGTTAATCCCACAGGATGGATGATGGAGTACCCCTTTCACCCACAAGCCACAAGAGTATACCTCCATCCTCTGCTGTCAATTCTCATTTACTGATCCGTGGCTCGCAACTCAACCTGTCAATCAACATGGATGACTTGTCACAAGAAGAAGTTAAAAAGAGCAAGTAAGTCATCCATTATATGTCAACTGTGCTTTTGTTTGCTTTGTTGTATAGGTGGCATGTATGTTTTTGACTCACAACTGAAGGACCTGGGTTCGATTCCTCGAACCCAGGTCTCCTCCTCAGTTTCCTCAGCATGATAGAAACGGTTGGCCATGTTTCTTTTCCTCTCATGAAACTCATGAAATGTTCCTCTCATGAAACTGTTGTGGATTGCATCCTGGGGAAAGTGTATACCTGGCCTAGGGAGACCTCAATAAGCCTCTCCCTGACAACAGGAATTATGATACTGTAGTAAATAGATGTTGTTTTAAAATATTGTATGCCATTTCACTTTCAGACTGTTAATATACTTGATTGCTTTCATTGTGGAATGCTTTTATCTCCAAGAATTGTCACTTACCATAATACTTTTCCTGAACTTCACATCTGACATAGGGTCCCGTATGATGTGGGTCCCATCTGACATAGGGTCCCATATGATATGGGTCCCATCTGACAGGGTCCCATATGATATGGGTCCCATCTGACATAGGGTCCTGTATGATATGGTCCCATCTGACATAGGGTCCCGCACAGTGATCTACATCCTCGGCTCACATTCATTTGCCCGGAGTCCCGGGCAAATCTCAGGTCGGAACAGAAATGGCTGGACATTTTTCCTTCCACCTGATAACGTGGTTCACCTAGCAGTAAAATAGTTTACCCAGGAGTTAGGCAACTGTTGTGGGTGGCATCCTGGGAATGGACAGTAGTTGGGCCCGGGGTGGGGGGAGGGATACCTCGATAAACATGAATACAGTATAGGCTTCCTGTCACCACAAATGGGATTTATACACACACGTCATTGTCATGATGCCGTCATAGTGGCATGTCATCAATTTGCACATACAAATCTTTGAAACTAAGAATTGTGTATTTTATTTATATTAAAATAATACTTTTTATGAAATATTAAAATGTTTATTAAAATTTTTTTTTCTTTCTTTAGAACTCTTTTGCTGACCATGAGGGAACTGATTCAGACAGAAAGGGATTATGTTAATTCACTTGAATATATTATTGAGGTAAGTAATAGTACTGTAGCCTTGGAAAATAGTAATGCCATAAAAGTAAATGAATTATTTTAGCTCATAAAATATGTCAATACTGTAGTCAGATTTAGGCTGGTGTTCTTAAAAGACTTTTATTTTTTATCTCCAGAATTACATTCCGGAGCTGATGAGAGAAGATATACCTCAAGCTCTCAGGGGCCAGCGTAATGTTGTCTTCGGCAATATTGAGAAAATCTATGAATTTCATTCTGGTTACTTCCTACGAGCCCTTGAAGCCTGTGAGATGCGACCTTTCGCAGTGGGCTCAATATTCCTGAGATATGTAGGTACATCCCTCTTAGATAAGTAAATATAGATAATGTCTAAATATTTGCTTATTTTTTCTTTCTTTTCTTTAGGTATTTATTGTTTATGCAGAACATTACTACATTGTTGAGATTAACACAAATTTCCTTCATTAACAATTTTCTATGGTGGCTCCCTGAGCAGGAACGGGGAGCCATCGTGGGGGGACCCACTGTGGTGAGCCGAAGCTCACCACAGTGAGCCAAGGCTTCAATATATATTTTTGTCTATATTGAACTGTAACATTCCATGTTACAACTCAAGGCTGTAGCAGACTGCAGGCCTATATATCCACTACAGCCTGGTTGGCCCGGCACTTCTTGCAAGAACCTGTCCAAGTGCCTCTTGAATACCTCCACCTTTGTTCTGGCAATATTTCTAATGCTTGCTGGGAGGGTGTTGAACAGCTGTGGACCTCTGATGTTCAGACAGTGCTCTCTGATTGTGCCTATGGCACCTCTACTCCTCAGTGGTTATATTCTGAATTTTCTTCCATATCTTTTGTTCCAGTATGTTGTTATTCTACCGTACAAATTTGGGACCTAGCCCTCCAGTATCTTCCATGTACACATTACTGTATATATTATTTGATACCTTTCTCTTCTCCTTTCTAGAGAGTACATTTTGAAAGCTTTGAGACAGTCCCAATAATTCAGATATGTTATAGTTTCTATGCATGCCGTATAAGTTCTCTGTATTCCTTCTAATTCAGAAATCTCTTGTGCTCTGAAAGGGGAAGTGAGTACCAAGCAATACTCAAGAAGGGACTGCATGAGTGATTTAGATAGTGTTAGCATTCCTGTGGGGTACCTGGATTTGAAAGTTCTCATAATCTATCCTATCATTTTCCCTGGCCACTGCAATATTTTTCCAATTATGTTCACTAAATGTCAGGTCTTCAGACATCATAATTCCCAGATCTTTAACATGTTGCTTTCCTTATATGAGTAGGCCTGATTGTGTCCTGAACCCTTTGTTTTGTTTAAGTTCCTCATTTACACCATACCTCAGTACAGTACCTGGAATGTATTGCCATTAAGCATGTTATTTTCAGTTGCCCAATCGAATACTTTATTTATATCTGCCTGTAGTTTTTCAGTGTCTTCTACAGTGGCACTTTTCATGCTGAGTTTTGTATCATCTGCAAGGATGACACAAAGATGTGACTTGTATTTTTGTCTATATCGGAGATAAGAATCTTGGGTAAATCACAATGAGAAATAGCAGTGGTGCAAGGACTGTGCCCTGGGGTACAGAGCTTTTCACTGCACTTAGGCTTGATCTTATTTGATTGACTATCACTCTCTGCATTCTGTTTGAAAGAAAGCTGAAAATCTAATGCCCCACTTTACCCCATTATTCGTATTGATCTCATTTTATGGGCTATCACCCCATGGTCACATTTGTCGAATGCGTTTGTAAAATCTGTGTATACAACATTTGCATTTTGCTTTTCCTCTAAGGCTTCTGTGATTTTGTCATAGTGGTTGAGTAACTGTGACAGACAGGATCTTCCCACTCTAAATCCATGTTGTCCTGGGGTTGTGTAGCTCATTATTGTCCATAAAGCTGGAAATTTGATTCCTAATCACTCTTTCAAAAACTTATATTATGTGTGATGTTATTGCAACTGGTCTATAATTTTTTGCCAAAGCTTTACTACTTCCCTTATGCAAAGGAGCTATATCTTTTGATTTAAGTGCTGCTGGAATCTTCCCTGTATTCAGGCTCTTTCTCCATATTATGCTAAGTGCTCGCGCTACTGGTACTTTACATTTCTTGATGAATATTAAATTCCATGAATCAGGGACCAGGAGCTGAGTTCATGGGCATGTTGTCAATTTCTCTTTCAAAGTCCTCTGAGTTTGCGTTCATATCCATTATATTATCTGGAGCTTGGATGTCATTCATAAAGAAGCTGTCTGGATCCTCAACTTTCATGTTTATTGGGGTGCTAAACACAGCCTCATACTGGCCTTTTAGAATTTCACTAATTTCTCTGTTGTCCTCTGTGTACGTACCTTCAGTTGTAAGTAAAGGTCCAATACTGTTAGAGGTCTTTGATTTTGATTTTGCATATGTAAAAAAATATTTTGTATTCATCTTTATCTCTTGTATAGTTTTCTGTTCCAATTCCATTACCTCAAACTCCCATGAGCGCTTCAGCATCTGCTCTATTTCTTCAATCTCCCTGTTTAGAGTTACACTGTTTTCCTTGCTTGTGTTAGTCGTGTCTGTTTAAGTATTTTGGTGATTTTTGTCCTCCTGTACAGTCGTTTGTGTTCTCTTTCTAGAGTGGTCCTCTTTCTGACCCTCCTCACAGGCACGTGCTACAAGTTGACCTTGTATGCTTCAGCTGTCAGTTCAGCTATTTCCTCTGTGAGAGTTTTGTTGCTTAAAACCATCTCCCATTGAATGTTTGCAAGGTCTACATTTAATTTTTCCCAGTTGATCCTCTTATTGTTGAAATTAAATTGATTGAATAACCCTTCTCTTAGACCTACTACCATTATTAATGTTATTTTATACTTCAATGAGCTTGTGGGCTCTGTATGTAGTACCTGAGATTGTAATGTCTCTGATTAGTTCATCCTTGTTCGTGAATATGAAGTCCAGCGTGTTTTCATTCCTAGTTAATTGTACTGACCATCTAATTCAAGGTGCCTAATCATGTGTGTGTATGCATGCCTCTCATCATGGTACTTTACAAAGTACAATATAATAGATTTTTCAGTTCCATGACTTGAATGGTGTGTAGATCATGATCAGGGTATCTCTTACCTTCCTTAACTTAGTTCATCAGTCATCCTTACATTGTCTTAGACTTACCGAGATTATTCTTTGGTAAGATGAGAATACCCTTTGTCATGCATGGTAAGGGTCCAATGTTTTAATTATCAAGTGGAAAGCACCAAGCCATTACGACTTTATAGCACTTGAAAGGGGTCAGGATAAGGATTTGGGATGGGGACGGGGAAGAAGGAATGGTGCCCAACTACTTGGACGGTTGGGGATTAAACACCTACCTGCATGAAGCGAGACCGTCGCTCTACCGTCCAGTCAAAGTGGCTGGGTGGTAAGGGTCCAAGATAGGCCAAGATGTCATCACTTTTATTTCTTGTCACAATTTTGTTTATGGTTATTTGTTTCACCGGTGTTATTGGGTCTTATTCTCTGCATTAAATACCAGTATTGTACTTGTATTGTATTTATCATTGTATTTCAGGAAAGTCAGTTTTACTTGTATGCGCTCTACAACAAGAACAAACCAAAATCAGATTCTTTAATGTCTGAATATGGATCAGCATTCTTTCGGAAAAAGCAGCTAGAGTTGGAGGACCGAATGGACCTTGCTTCGTACTTGTTGAAACCTGTACAGCGCATGGGGAAATATGCTCTTATTCTTAAACAGGTAAGTCATTTATGTCTCATCTGAGTGTCTTTATTCAGTATTTTCTATTCTGAGAATGTTACTCTTATTTTCACTTTAAAATCAACATTCAGAAAGTACCTTTGAAGAAATTTAGAATGAGATTTAGAAGAAAATATAATTTTTGAATAAAAATCATAAAATTAAATTCCAAAATGGCAAAAAAGCTGCACCAGTGATAGAAGCTTCAGCTTAGTGACTGAATCAGAATGTTGGAGGCAAGGTAAGAATATCAGAGCGGATCATATGAACAATTCTAATTATAGAGATTGACACGTCTTTGGATCCCACATTCTTAACCAGCATAAATATAAACACCTCTCATTAGATTCTGAAGGAAATTAAATTAGTGTAAAATTGCAACAAATATTTGCCTCAAAAATATGAATAGCAGTAGAGGTGACGGAAGCTGCAACAGAGCAAATATGACGCTGGTTGGGCCATTAGCTAAGGCAACATAATAATAATAATAATAATATTAATAATAATAATAATTATAATAATTTATTTGCAAGAAGGTACAATGGGTTGTGAGATTAAGATTGGTATTTTTACATTCATGCAAAGCCACTAACACGAATAGCGTTTCGGGCAGGTCCTTAATCTAACACATCAGGTATGATGAAAAGATACATTGTAGCAAGGTTTTATATCAACAAATGACTACATTAACCAAGGAGATTGTGTATTAACAAGAAAATTATAATAACAGATATTTCATCTTTTTTTTTTTTTAACCCACATACTCAATTATAATTTAACATTTACCTTTGATGTAATTTAGAAATACAAATTTTGTGTAAAAAATCACAACAAAATTATATTTACCTAATACTGTACATTGTTCAGTATTAACCTAATACATTGCACAATAATAATTGAACATATTGTACCGAATTACCTTAATACATTGTACAGTATTACCGTAATACATTGTACAGTATTACCTTAATACATTGTACAGTATTACCTTAATACATTGTACAGTATTACCGTAATACATTGTACAGTATTACCTTAATACTGTACATTGTACAGTATTACTCTAATACATTGTACAATATTACCTTAATACATTGTACAGTATTAACCAAATATATTTTAGAGTACTGTATTACTCTAATCAAGCGTGGGGCCCGGTCTGGGCTTGGGGAGTAGAAGAACCCCCAGAACCCCCATCCAGGTACAATCCAGGTAACCTAATACTGTACATTGTACAGTATTAAAGAGATGAGTCAACTTTACTCCTCAACAGTGTTTTCAGAGTTACATATCTCTGAAAGTTAGCCTTAAAACATAAGAATGGTTACTAAAAAGCAGGTTTTAGCAAAAAAAATTTAAATAAAATAAATAATAAACAAAATATTTAATGCAATATACATATATATATATATATATATATATATATATATATATATATATATATATATATATATATATATATATATATATATATATATATATATATTATATGTATATATTTTTTAAATCTACTTCAGATTTATAAATTGTACTGCAGATCCATTTTGATGTCTTTTTCATTGGAAAAACCCGACACAGCTCTATAGTTGTGTTTGAGGAAATTTCTAGTTTGTTTGATTAATAAAAAGCATAAAATTGGTCAAATGAATAAATCCACAAGGGCCGTGACGAGGGTTCGAACCTACGTCCGAGAGGATCTCAGATGCTGCCTTGCGTGATGCATCACACTATTGTGATTTCTGTGTGTCATAAAATTGGTGTTTTGAATTTTTATTACAAAATATCATTCATAAAAAAATTAAAAAAAAAATGCTCAAACAGAAATGTAAAGCCCAATGAATAGTGGGTTCTAAGAAATTATCTTTAATTTCATCTAAATCGGATGAAAACTAACAAACTGAAGTGAAAAACCTAAAACTTGGTGTTTTGAGAATTGAATTTTCCCGCTTAATATAGTGTTTCACAAATCCTCAAGAATATATGTTTTAATTGTTTATATTATTTTGTAAATATTTTCCAATGCTTTTTATGCAGTTAATTGGATTTTGTTTTATATTTTCATAGCAAAAAACTAGAAAAAATAGAAAACAATATACTAGTTTGCAATTTACCTAATACATTGTGCAGTATTAATTAACCTATACATTGTGCAATATTAACCTATACATTGTGCAGTATTAATTAATACATTGTGCAATATTAACAAATACATTGTGCAGTATTAACCTGTACATTGTGCAGTATTAATCAATATATTGTGCAGTATTAACCTGTACATTGTGCAGTATTAACCTATACATTGTGCAGTATTAGCCAATTAATTGTTCAATATTAACCAATACATTGTGCCTTACAAAGTCTCATGACGCTAATGAAATTTTGTTCTTGTATCCTACAGTTACTGAAGGAATGTGGTCGTGGAGAGGAGAATTATGATGAAATCCAGGGTGCTCAAGAGATGGTGCAATTTCAACTGCGTCACGGCAATGATCTCCTTGCCATGGATTCCTTGAGGGATTGTGATGTACGCACTGTTACATAATATTGTTTGTAGTTTTCTTTAATCGTAATTTATTTTTCCCCTTGATATCCTTTTTGGGTCAGACATGTTCGAGTAATATTAAATTGACATTGGATCAATATTTTTATTGTTGATTCGTTGTTTTATCAACATCATTTGGCCAGATTTGCCTGGGGTGATATTAAATAAGTTTATATGAGCAGAATTAGCTCATCTTAATCTTTTCTATTTGGAGCCTGGTCGGCTTCCTGAAGCTATCTGAACTGATGTGTGGTACGTTAGTTTTGGGTCGTCAGGCACTGGAGTCCTTATGCCTACCGGGAAGCACACGCCAGAATCTCGTCCTGTCAGAGAGGCACAGGGAGCAATGGACCTATGATCACTTTACATTTAAAGTATGTCATAATGGCCATCACCTGGGAAGGGCAGCCGGAAAGATAGGTGAAACGAAACGGACCACAATCTGGTGAAGGTTGTGACCTACGTTCGAATATAGCAAAATAATTCCCCCAAAAAGAATACAAACAAGCAACACGTCATCCAACTAGCAATACCACTCATTACTACTAAACCCCGTCCCCCAAGAGGAGGAGGGAGGGGGAGCCGGCAGTCCAACACTCTAGTTCTTGAACGATGAAGACCGCCGACCTAGGGGAGGTAGAGAGGGTGTCAGGGAGCCTCCGGGGCTCGCCTAGAAAAGGGTGTTTCATTACATTCAATGCTAGTTTTTTGTTTGTCATTTCCAAATGTTTGAAATCCCAACAAATTAATAATTCGTCATTATGATGCATTGCAGGTGAACCTGAAGGAACAAGGGAGATTGTTGAGGCAAGGAGAGTTTGTGGTGTGGGAGGGAAGCAGAGCCAAGAAGTCTGTTAGACATGTTTTCTTATTTGAAGATTTAATCCTCTTCAGCAAGGCAAGACGAGATCCAGAAAAGAAGGTATGAATAATTGAGTGCAGTACTTGGGGAATCACTGGTTAATTTGGTGAAATGTTAGTATATTATTTCTGATAAATGTTACAGTAGACATATTAAGTTTACTAATTTTAATCATTTATTTTATTCCACATTTCAGGCACTAGATATATTTCAGTACAAGCATAGCATGAAAATGACCGACATTGGTTTGACAGAACAAGTTAGCGTTAGCACTACTAAATTTGAAATTTGGTTCCGCAAGCGAAAGCCATCGGACACTTATCTTTTCCAAGCTCCCAGTGCAGAGATGAAAGAGGCGTGGACAGAGGAAATATCCAAATTACTGTGGCGCCAAGCACTTCGTAACAGAACTATGAGACTGCACGAGATGTCATCTATGGGTATAGGTAACAAGCCATGTCTGGATATACGGCCAAGTGAAGATCAGATCAGTGACAGATCCATTAGCATTAACCAGCTAAATAAAGGTTTGTTTGAATATCATTTTACTAAATAAATTTGTTTACACTATTTTTTATTTTTTTTATGTACAGTATCACAAAACCACTTACCATATTTCTTTGGTAATTGAAAATGTATTTTATGACTACTATACAGTACATTTATTTTTTCAAGGCAAATATTTGGTGTTTCTATTTGCTTGCAGCACCTCGTCTTCGAACTGGTTCAACATCCGCTATTGGTGACTTGAACGGTGGAGTGGGGAAAAGACCTCACTCTATAATTTCTGTTAGTTCCTCGTCGGCATCCTCATCAGCCTCGTCGGCATCTTCGTCACATTCGTCAACTGTTTGTCCAACTTATGTTGGAGCGCTTAACCTGGGTTTTGAAGCAGGGAACTCCCCGCGACCCCTTCATCGTTCAGTGACACGTACCAGCCAATGTTCTGCAGGTAATTTTGTGACACAAATACTGTATAATGGTTACAGTATATATACACTGTATTATGATAACTAGATGGGGTACCCGCATGTACCTGGCTCTTTCCCCATCCTCTCTCAATATCTCAACTCTCTGCCCCTCCCCATTTAACTCGGGTAAATGCCAGAAGCAAGTACAGTATCAAAAAAATTTTTTTTTTATGTATTTACCTCTAGTCGATCATTAGAGGGAATGCAATTGACAATCACGAAACACCGATCATTTGTATGTGGAAAATCCACAAAGAAATAGGAAAGGAAGATGGACGTTTTGGCTGTTTCGGCCGTTGTCAACACCAGACTCACTGGTGTTGACAATGGGTGAAAAAGCCGAAACGTTCATCATCCTTTCCTGTTTCTTTGTGGATTTTCCGCATTAGAGGGAATAAATAACTTGGTACTATAGACTATCTCTAGAAATGGTTATGAGCTACCATAACTGTACCAACCTGCATCTGGATGTTTGTTTCTCCGTGGTCCAGTCAGATCAGGACTCTATTATCTTCCTACTCATGTGTGTATATCACGAAAATAAACACGTGATTTAAAAATGTGACAATGTCAGACCACGGAGGAAAAATGAAACAGGAATTTCCTTAAGTACTTTCGTATATTAATACATCTTCAGAAGGAGTCCTACTCATGTAAACACAATACTCCTTTGTCAGGAAAAGAAAAGAACAAGAAGAATGCTCATGTCAATTATTATATAATCTACACAGTATTATAGTAACTCATTCCACACTTAGGAAATGAAGTGAAAGTGATAATGATTTTGGTCCATCTTAGACCCTGATTAGGTCATGAAATGGCTGAAAGATCATTTTCCTTTCATATATAGTATGACTTCATTTCATGTACTATTATTAATGTTAATTTTCAGAAAGTGGTATTCTTGCCGACATGTACTCTGGCGGTGACGACGACGCTCAGTCCCATCGAAGAGTCGAGAGGTCAAATTCCACAGTGACAACGGTCTCTGTTGATTCTGCTCTGTCACCGGTCTCATCGTGCTCACCAGTCTTCCCTGTAGCACCCACTTCACCCTCCCTCATCATGGTCTCCCCTACAAGACCTACGGATGTCATATATGAAACACAATCTGTCACACCTACTGTAAAGGACTCTTCAGCAAAAATGCTTCTCACTACTGAGGTATCTTGATAATTTACAGTATATTTAGCTATTTTAACTATATTCCAAAGGTTTCACAGATCACGGGAGACCTGATGGTCCATAAAGGTATCTGTATTGTGGGGATTTTTTCTATGTATACTTTTAATAATAGCGTAATGACTAGTAGTGGACCATTCTATTTTGGCATAAGTATAGTTGCTGTAATATTCTTTGAACTTATTCATCATTCCTCATTTTTTATGCCATTTGGTACAGTAACCTGAATTCCACTGGATATTCTTGGTACATTTTAATTAGTTTTGTGAAGAGGCAAGTTTCGGTTTCTGGCATTTGTAGTATGCAATAAACGTTTCCTTTATTCCTCAACATTACTTTATGTGCACAAATCACAAGAATCTGAGGAATCTACGAGAAAATATTGAGGCCATAAATTGGGATTAAACACGCTCCCAGTACTTCCCAGGCCCATGTACTACTTTATCATGGCTCAGTCAGGTGTACTCACCTAATTGTGCTTGCGGGGGTTGAGCTTTGGCTCTTTGGTCCATGTGGTCAGGTGTGTGTGTGTGTGTGTGTGTGTAATTACCTAAGTGTAATTACCTAAGTGTAGTTACAGGATGAAAGCTACGCTCGTGGTGTCCCGTCTTCCCAGCACTCTTTGTCATATAACGCTTTGAAACTACTGACGGTCTTGGCCTCCACCACCTTCTCACTTAACTTGTTCCAACCGTCTACCACTCTATTTGCGAAGGTGAATTTTCTTATATTTCTTCGGCATCTGTGTTTAGCTAGTTTAAATCTATGACCTCTTGTTCTTGAAATTCCAGGTCTCAGGAAGTCTTCCCTGTCGATTTTATCAATTCCTGTAACTATTTTGTATGTAGTGATCATATCACCTCTTTTTCTTCTGTCTTCTAGTTTTGGCATATTTAATGCTTCTAACCTCTCCTCGTAGCTCTTGCCCTTCAGTTCTGGGAGCCACTTAGTAGCATGTCTTTGCACCTTTTCCAGTTTGTTGATGTGCTTCTTAAGATATGGGCACCACACAACAGCTGCATATTCTAGCTTTGGCCTAACAAAAGTCATGAACAATTTCTTTAGTATATCGCCATCCATGTATTTAAATGCAATTCTGAAGTTAGAAAGCATAGCATAGGCTCCTTGCACAATATTCTTTATGTGGTCCTCAGGTGATAGTTTTCTATCTAGAACCACTCCTAGATCTCTTTCTTTATCAGAATTCTTTAAAGATTTCTCACATAATATATAGGTTGTGTGGGGTCTATGTTCTCCTATTCCACATTCCATAACATGACATTTATTAACATTAAATTCCATTTGCCAAGTGGTGCTCCATATACTTATTTTGTCCAGGTCTTCTTGAAGGGCATGACAGTCATCTAAATTTCTTATCCTTCCTATTATCTTAGCATCATCAGCAAACATGTTCATATAATTCTGTATACCAACTGGTAGATCATTTATGTACACAATAAACATCACTGGTGCAAGAACTGAACCCTGTGGTACTCCACTTGTGACATTTCTCCATTCTGATACATTGCCTCTGATTACTGCCCTCATTTTTCTATCAGTCAGAAAATTTTTCATCCATGATAGAAGCTTACCTGTCACCCCTCCAATATTTTCCAGTTTCCAGAACAACCTCTTATGTGGAACTCTGTCGAAAGCCTTTTTTAGGTCCAGATAGATGCAGTCAACCCAACCATCTCTTTCCTGTAATATCTCTGTGGCTCGATCATAGAAACTGAGTAAATTCGATACACAGGATCTTCCAGATCGAAAACCATACTGTCTGTCTGATATTATATCATTTCTCTCTAGGTGTTCTACCCATTTAGTTTTGATTAGTTTTTCCAATACTTTCACTATTACACTTGTCAATGATACAGGTCTATAATTGAGGGGGTCTTCCCTGCTGCCACTTTTGTAGATTGGAACTATGTTAGCCTGTTTCCACCCGTCTGCTACGATTCCTGTACACAGGGATGCCTGAAAGATCAGGTGAAGTGGAATGCTGAGCTCAGATGCACATTCTCTCAGAACCCATGGTGAAACGCCATCTGGGCCAGCTGCTTTGTTCTTACCGAGCTCCTTGAGCATTTTTTCCACTTCGTCTCTAGACACCTCTATGTGTTCTATGTTGTTCTCTGGAATTCTTATTGTATCTGGTTCCCTAAAGATTTCATTTTGTACAAACACACTTTGGAACTTTTCGTTTAGTGTTTCACACATTTCCTTTTCATCTTCCGTGAATCTATTTCCCATTTTCAACCTCTGAATATTATCCTTTACCTGCAATTTGTTGTTTATGAATTTATAGAATAGACCTGGTTCTGTTTTACATTTGTCCGCAATCCCTTTTTCAAAATTTCTTTCTGCCTCTCTCCTCACTGCCGTGTAGTTGTTTCTCGCATCTTTGTATCGCTGGTATGTTTGGGGGTTCGGCCTCTTCCTGTATTGATTCCATTTTTGTGTCTTTCGGTCTCTAGCCCTCTCGCAATTTCTATTGAACCAATCCTGTTTCCTAGTTCTGCATCTCTGTTTTGGTATAAATTTTTTTGTGCCTTTATCATATATTTCACAAAACTTGCCATACATCTCATTCACTTCCTTGCCTAGCATCAAGTCTGTCCAATTATACTCACTAAAAAAATTTCTAAGGTCACCATAATGTCCTCTCCTGAAGTCTGGTTTTTCAACTGCTTCAACCTCCTTATTTTCTTCCAGCTTATAACGCATTGCATACTTTATTCCCAAAAAGACATGGTCACTTTTACCCAAGGGAGGAAGGTACTGAATGTCAAATATCTCTTCCTCCTTCCTGGTAAATATCAAATCTAGCATGGAGGGAACGTCCCCTTCCCTCATCCTCGTAGCTTGTTTAACATGTTGATACAAGAATGTTTCCAGGATGAGGTCTACAAATTTACAGGTCCAAAAATCTTCTGTTTTAGCTTCATATGCTTCCCAGTCTATGGATTTCAAGTTGAAGTCACCGACTATCAACAGTCGTGATCTATCGTTATCCGCTCTCGCTATAATCTCTCTCATTATTGTTATAAGACCTTCACGTTTACTATCTAGCTCCTCCTTTGACCATGTGCTGCTTGGCGGTGGACTATATGCATTTATCATCATTAGTTTATCATCCTCATAGCAGATCTCTAGTGCTATTATGTCAACTTCTTGTGGATTGGCAGTCATTATTTCCTTCACCTTTAGGTGTTCTTTTACCAGCACAGCAACGCCACCGCCTTTCCTAATTTTTCTGTCCCGTCTCCAAATTGAGTAGCCCCTTGGGAATATGACCTCATTTAAAATTACATCTTCAAGTTTTGTCTCCGTGAGTGCAACAATGTCTGGTGTCTGCAGCTGTATTACATCACTTAACTCCAGTATCTTCGATCTCACTCCATCTATGTTGGTGTATGCAATCTTCAGGAACTTGTTCCCCCTCTCCTTATTCTTCACTCCCCCTCTCTCTATTGATTTTGTTGGTTTGCCTTTATGTACCACTTTACTGGTTTGCCTACCCCTATCACTTTGTAGAAAAAAGAATTTATTTCTTCTTCATTCCTGCTCTCATTTAAATGTTTTGCCTCGGCGAGGTTCAGTTTCAGCTTCTCTCTATCTTCTTTTGAAAGATCTCGTCTTAACGACCACCCTTTCCCATCCTCATCCCTTTGCAATTTTCTAGCATTCCTTAGTACTTCTTCCATCTGTTTGGCACCGTTTAGGGTGATCCTCAAAGGTCGATCTTTCCCTTTTACGTACCTGCCTATTCTCCTGTAGTCGCACACATTCTCTCTGTTTGTAAGACCTTCCACGAGGCCAACAATTTTATCTACTACTTTAGCTTCTTCTACAGCTCTTTCTGACCTAGATGTTATCGCCTTTTCTTTGCAGCCAAAAATGATCAGGGACTTACTCCGATCAACTGTGTTTTGCACCAACTTCGGGTTAGATGCCAATTCTTTCCTCACTTCTAGCCTAATGTTTGTTTTATCTTGGTTGCTGCAGTGTTTGACTTCCTTTACTGCTTCTTCTATTTTTTCCTTCTCCTTGGCCACTTGTGCATAAGTGAGTTGCATATCTTTCTTGCACTGTTCTATTCCCTGTGTAACTTCCTCCATCTGTGCTGACAAAAGCTGTTTCTCCTGTTGAATTTCCTTGCCTAACCTATTGTAGTCATTTATGTTTAAATTTACTTTAACTTCTTCCAAAGCTATTTTTAAGAGTTTATTTTCTTCTTCCATGGCTTTGCAATTTGTTTCCAATTGATTCTTATCCTTGCGCAAGTCTTTCACTAAACCCTCAAGACATAAAACTTTGCTATTCAAATGGTCATTACTTTCTTTCAATTTACTAATTATTTCTACATGAGAGTTCACTATAGTATCTAAATTTACCAACTTGTTATGTAGACTACTAATATCAATGCTTTCTTCATTGAATCCCTCAAAATCAAGCTCTGTTTTGTTTTTCCCCTTGCCAGTGGCCATCTTGAATGTTCTTCTCTGCACTGTAAACACTAGGGCAACTTTTTCTCATCCGATTTTTCACTTCCCTTAGCACTTTCCTGTTATCTCACCTATTTTTCAAGAGCACTATACCTTTATGTTCTCTGGGACACCACTCACTACCATCAACCTGTACTACAATACTTAGGATTGTTGAAATATGCTGGAGCTCCTCTGCTGCAAGTGTTGACCCTAGGGGTGTCACCTTTTTTAAGTGTGTGTGTGTGTGTGTGTGTGTGTGTGTGTGTGTGTGTGTGTGTGTGTGTGTGTGTGTGTGTGTGTGTGTGTGTGTTCAGGAATTTTTCCCTATCAATTTTATCAATATTTTGTACGTAGTGATCATATCGCCTCTTTTCCTTCTATCTTCTGTGTCGGCATATTTAATGCCTCTAACCTCTCCTTGTAGCTCTTGTCCTTCAGTTCTGGGAACCACTTACTGGCACGCCTTTGCATCTTTTCCAGTTTATTGATGTG